TTTGCAGCATTAAACCCCCCTCCCGCAGTGTGTCTGCCCCAGCCTGGGGGCACCACCACGTCTCCGTCCTTCACCTGTCCTCCTCTTCCTCGGCAGATCGTGTTTGTTCTCTCGTCCGCTCTCAACCCAGGGAATGAGGGTAGGTGCCAGGGGGGCAGCGGAAGGAGGTGGGGCAGGAAAGGGCCATGGTGGAGCAAAGCACCTCTGCTCATGGCCGCGTCTCTGCTCTCGCTGCGGGCAGAGATGGGGGAGCACCTGGTGAAGCACGGCGATGGGGTGAAGGACATCGCCTTCGAAGTGGAGGACTGCGACTTCATCGTGCAGGTAGGCAGCCCCTCCGCTCCCTCCGGAATGGCCACCCGGAACGGTGAGGGGAGGCAGGGAAGGGCCTGGGGATGTCTCCCCCCAGCCCGGGGTTGCTGTGGCAGGGGGGGAGCTCTCTCCTTCTGCCCAGAAAGCCAAGGAGCGCGGAGCCGTGGTGGTGAAGGAGCCCTGGGTGGAGGAGGACAAATTCGGGAAGGTGAAGTTCGCGGTGATCCAGACGGTGAGCACCAGGGCAGCTGTGGAAGCTGAGCCCCCGCGCCGGAGCGAGGTCCGCGGGAGCAGGCTGGACCCAGGAGGTCCCTGAAAAACGGGGCCACCGTGCAACCGCTTTCTCCCCTCTCGCAGTACGGTGACACCACCCACACCTTGATAGAAAAGCTCAACTACAAGGGCCTCTTCCTGCCCGGGTACCACCCGCCCCTCTTCAAGGACCCCCTGCTGCCAAAGTTGTGAGTACTTTCCAGAGGGTCCTGCCCAGTGCTTTGCCACTGAGTGCCAGTGGGATGTCCCAGCCAGGAGCCGGACAGGTCCTACCACCTCGCCTCAGAAGCACCTGTGCCACGGGGTGCCCTCAAGCCCATCTGAGAGCCACCTCCGGCTTTTCCCTGCAGACCAAGTGCCAAGCTCAGCTTCATTGACCACGTCGTGGGGAACCAGCCTGACCTCCAGATGGTCCCAGTGGCGGACTGGTAAGGGTGGGGAGGGCTGGCGGGGGTGGGATGGAGCAGCAGCACCGCTCTGCTGGTCTCATCCCCTCTGGCGTCGGTGGCTGAGGCTAATTAAGCCAGAGCAGAGGTTCGTTAGCGTGAGAATGGAGCAAGGGACTTGAACGTGGCCTTTGTGGCCTGGGCAGGTACCAGAAGAACCTGCTCTTCCACCGCTTCTGGTCGGTGGACGACAAGCAGCTGCACACCGAGTTCAGCGCCCTGCGCTCCATCGTGGTCACCAACTACGAAGAGACCATTAAGATGCCCATCAACGAGCCAGCGCTCGGCAAGAAGAAATCCCAGATTCAGGTAAGGGACTTGAACGTGGCCTTTGTGGCCTGGGCAGGTACCAGAAGAACCTGCTCTTCCACCGCTTCTGGTCGGTGGACGACAAGCAGCTGCACACCGAGTTCAGCGCCCTGCGCTCCATCGTGGTCACCAACTACGAAGAGACCATTAAGATGCCCATCAACGAGCCAGCGCTCGGCAAGAAGAAATCCCAGATTCAGGTGAGCACGCACCGGCGGTTGACCCATCAGGCTGCCATGTCGAGTGGGGCTTTGGTGACGGAAAAGGGACCGAGGGGTCAGGGACTCGGAGCCGGCGCAGATGCGCTGTGCAAAAGCGGCTCTCTGGAAAGCAGCGCTGGCTCTGCAAAGGGCTGTCAGACCCTGGAGAGCTGCTGGGACAGAGCTGGTTCACCCCTGATTTCACCAATACCATCTTCTGTTCCATTTTGTGGTCCTTCAGCCAATTTTCCCTTCACGTTCTTAGCCCCAAGCTCAGCCCTTTGCACGCTGTAGCTGCGCCATCACTAACGGGGTGAAGTTTTCTCCTTGTAGGAATACGTCGACTACTATGGAGGGGCCGGAGTCCAGCACATCGCGTTGAACACCTCCGACATCATCTCGGCGGTGAGTGCAGCTCCTCCACCCTGTCCTGCCTGGCATGGTCCTCATCACAGGGCACTGGTGGACTATGACCCCCGTCAGGGCACAAGGATAAGGGCAGGCTGAGCAGGCTTTGTGCCGTGGTTATCTTACAACCAGGATTAACTGCCCAGGGAGTCGCTGGAAAGGGACCTGCCTGCAGCTGTGAGCTGCAGGGAGATGGCCGTCCCTCCAGCTTAAAGCAGTTGGGGTCTGCAGACACCCCGATGGCACGTGCTGTCCGTGGTGGGGGGACAGTGGGAAGCTTGGGCAGCCTGGGCTGCTGGGCTGAGCCACCACAGCACATCACCCACCTTTGCCTGGGGAGATGCTGGTCTGGATTGAGTCCAGCTGCTGTTGAGCACTTGGTTTTGGGCTCCTCTTCAGACCAAAGAGCCTCCAGAGCTCTTGGGGGGTCGGGGTGGGATGAAGCATCCTTGCACAGTGGCCAACACTCTGCATGGCCTGGAGAAGGCACCAATGGGCCCTCCCGTAGCTGGTGCCCAAAGCGAGAAGGTGGGCCATGTCCCCACGCACGAGGTTGGCCAGTCATGGGTAAGCGTCACTCTGCCACCCGATGCCATCCATCCAGGGCCATCCTTCCAGCACAAACCACCCCAAGCCCAGCCCACACCGGGGTTTCCCCTGCCTTGCAGATCACCAACCTGAAGCAGCGCGGCATGCAGTTCATGGACGTGCCGTCCAGCTACTACCAGATCCTGCGGGAGAGGCTGAAAACTGCCAAAATCAAAGTGAAGGAGAACATCGACAAGCTGGCGGTGAGTCAGACCAGCCTGAGAGGACAAAGGTTTGCTTGGGGCTGGACCAGCTCCCCAAAGTGTTGTGCAGGGCTGAGGGTGATGCAGAAGGATCCCTTTGCTCCTCTGCGGGAATTCAAGCTCTCGCCCTGTTTCTTTTCTCCAGGAACTGAAAATCCTGGTGGATTTTGATGAGAAAGGCTACTTGCTCCAGATCTTCACCAAACCGGTTCAAGACAGACCCACGGTCTTTCTGGAGGTCATCCAGCGGCATAACCACCAGGTTGGTTTGAGGATTTCTCAATACCACCAGCTCTTGGTGCCAGCCAGCTCTTGGTGCTGCTCTTCCTCGGCTGCTTCTGAGCTGACGAAGCCGCTCTCCGTCCCCGCGGTCCGTAACGTTGTCGTCTCTGCAGGGTTTCGGCGCCGGGAACTTCAAGTCTCTGTTTGAAGCCATAGAAATGGATCAAGATGCAAGAGGAAACCTGACTGTCCTGGAGCCCAACGGGGAGACCACGTGCATCTAGAGGACGGCAGAAAAGGCCGCCCTTGCCCCTAAACAAGCTCATTCACAAACGAACCGGGAAACGGCCGATGTTTTGGTAAATAGCCCAGACCTAAGTGTCATAAACCCAGGGAAGTTGCTGCCAAGTTGGAGACGTAAAAGGACTCAACACCTATCCCAGCCCAGCCCCGGCGCTGCCCTCTGGTGACTTCTTGGGAGAGGGAGCGTGGGAAATGGCGAACACGCTCCTAAAAAGTCGTTTAATCTGATCCAAACCACCAAATTCTTAACAAAGGGCAGATTTAAGGCATGTGCCAAAGACATGCAGCTACGGGAGAAGAGAGAAGAAACAACTGGGAGTGTTTAAATTTAGTCCATCCAAAGTTTTCTGTTAATTTTAGCCACGTATGAAGCTGGGAGGCGTTTGCCTCTCTGTGCGTCTCGTTTTGTAAGATTTTATTTTAATTGCTTTTAGACTCGATCTCGACGTGGTTTTAGGGTAGCTACAACATTCTGGAATGAGACTTAATCGAATTTACATATTTCGGCCTTCCCAAAGCAATGCAGTCTTGCTCTAATACCTGTAAATCCCTGAATTAATGAAGGGGTTGGGGTTTCTCCTGTGTTTCACGAAGTAATTGCTGGCGTCGTTAGCGACTGCCTGGCTCGGATCCCGGCTGCGCGTGCAGAGTCCCCTCTGGGCATCGCTCTGGTGGTGTCACCGTCCTTGGCACGGGGACTTTCCCCACCCACACAATAAAACCCTTTTGTGTCGCAGCTCGAGTGGCTGGTAAGTTAACGTGCGGGGCCTGGAGCCCCTCTACCCCGCGTCCGCTGCGGCTGCAGGTGGAACGCTCCCGGAGGAGAGCGCAGCGCTCAGTGCATGGCAGCTGAAGGTCAGCTCAGGGTCTCTGGTGCCCGCGGGTCTCCCCACTGTTGCACGTTTGCCCTCAAAGCCCCGGCGCACCCACCGCTGCTCCCCAAGTCTCCCAGTGTCAAACCTGCTCGAAGCCCCGAGCAGCCGAAGCCCGTGCCGAGCCCTCGGCTCAGGACAGGCTCCTGGGATACGAGTCCTTCCGCCGGCCCAAGCCCACCCCTCCAGCTGCCGTGGTCCCCTATAGAAGCCGAGAACTGAGCCGGGACATCGCCCACAGCCCAGGCTCTCTCCTGCCTCTTCCATCTCCTCCTCCATCAGCCTCTCTGCTCGTCTCTGCCCCGAATCTCTTTATTAAAGCTCAGAGAGGCCGCTGTGACCACCACCACGTTCACCACTCCTGGCGAGGGAGGGCGGGGGGGACACGGCCACGTCCGGGCCGGGCTTTCATCGGCATCGAACCCCAGCAGCTGCCCCGGGTGCCCCCTCCTGTGAACCACAGGTAACGGGATTCATTTCGGATTTGAATAAATCGATTTAAAAGAAACCGAAGGGTCTCTGGCCCCACCAGCCTTACAGCACCACCAGAACCAGTAACACCACCAGCTCGCTTCCTGGGTTAAGGGCTTGTGCCTCCATAAATTAAAAAAAGAGGGAAAAAGATGTGAATCCCAGGGCAGAGGCTCTGCCTAGGCAGCACCGCGGAGGGCACATGGGTTGGGGACAGCCGGCACCGTGGCGGGGGGCTGGCGCCCAGCTGAGCTTCAGTAATCAAGGGCTGTACAGATTTTTAATACTAAGAAAGTTTTCTTTAAGTTTATAAACTCGAATCGCTCACGTATTTCTTTCATGCAGTGTAATGTTGCTTAAAGTAATTTCTTGCTCACCAGGATTAATATTTTCAGCAAACTTTGCTGAAAATCAGTTCTTTGCACCACTCTTTCTGGATCTGGTTCCTGGAGCTCTGGCGGTTCCCAGCACGGGTCTGAGAGCAAAAAGCTCCCCTGGCTATACATTAAGCACAACATAATTTTTCTGTAAGAAAAGTCAGTATATTTATGGTTTGCTTTATAAAAGTTACTATAATACAATGGTACATAGTATTCAATTCACAAAAATATGAACAAATATATACAGCATGACACATCCACAACAAAAACACTTTCTTCAAAACAAGATACATACTGGTGACAGATTCTATATGCACAAAACATCCCTAAATTTTTAAATTTGCTTAACGAAAGAAAAAGCAGAAATCCTAAATCTTCAAAGCAGAGATTTTCTTTTTTTTTTTTTCTTTAAGGAACTTAAAAAAAATAAGATTTTTTTTTTTCATTTATTGCAAACCATTTTACCTGCCTCCTTTTAAAGGAGGCCCTTTATTTTCACACTGTGAATTAAAACAACGTGTTTATAGGACCAGAAAGCTGCAAGGATTGGGAGCCGGGTGTTCTTCCATTTTGCTTCTAAAACTGCCCGTTTGTTTTTTTTTAGAGTGTCCGTTACAACGTGTTTCTTTTCCCTTGGACAAATACTACAGTGGCAATTAAGGAGGAAACTCATAAAAACAAAACAAATATTAAATTGAAAAAAATCCAGTTGCAAACTCGCTTAAATACGTTTTAGGGTGTCTATTAGACTGTACACATTTCTTCGCTTGAAATAAATAGATTTTGCACATTAGGTTTCAGACTGAGGGGGGGAAAAAAAGAAGAAGCCTTGACTTGGCAATTTTTTGTCTTCAGTTTCTTAATGCTTCTAATTCCGTCTATTTATTTGACAAAAAAAAACATATTTATACAGAATTTACATTATACAAAGCTTGACACAAGCTGTAAATGCCACCAGCTCCTTTGCTATACTTAGTCCTTCCTCCTCCCCGTCTCCTCGACATGATTTAGAGCTGGAATCTGTTTAAAAAGAACTCCAAATTACAATAGTCACTTTTAATAAATTATTTACATGCTCTTGAAGTACAAAGAAATCAGCAAAAAAATTTCAACATGTTTCTACAAGAAACAGTGTTCGAAGAGAAGATTCTTGAGTTTGCCTATGTACAGAAGATGCTTTTTTTTTTATACTTCAAAATCCTTTTTTCCTTAAATTTTTATTTTATACAGAAATGCACTGAAATGATCCCTGAAAAAGGTCACAAAAACCAGAACTGAAACTACTGTATACTTTGCCGGAGTTTAAAAATGTTGTCGTTTTTTTTTTCCTTGTAGAAATAAGCTGCTCTATACAATATAAATATCTGCAAGACGAGCCCCTTCCCCTCCCAGACCCCCAGTAGTCACCGACCAAACTGGGACCAAACTGGAATTGCCAACAGAGGTGTGAACCCAACGGGCAAACGAGGGTGTTGGGCAGCGGCGGGTGGGATTCACAAGCACAGAGCGCGCTTCCGAGGAACGCCGAACGCGGAGGCATCTGCACCCTGAGCTCAAGCCAGCTCAACGGTGGGAAACTAAAGATTTAAGTTGTATTTCCCACTTTTTCACTGTTCTCTGGGGTCAGCTCACCTAGCGGGATACCGAAGCGAGATGTAATTTTGCAGGGAGGGCAGTCAACGTCTCTCTCTTTTTTGTCTTAAGTTTTGATTTAAGTGAAAACAAATTTGGGATATGCTTTTCAGCCAGCAAAACGACTTCAGGAAACCTCACTGTCAAGCAGCACACACTGGGAAGGTCTCTTTTCAGTCCTTGCCACTATTTCCATGGGGTGCCGGGGTGCCTGTGCTGACCACGGGAGCTCCGATCGAGGCGGCGTGTGAATCGCACGCCTTCTGCCTTCCTCCTCTCATCCCACCCCTTTCTCCGTACGAGCCGAAGTACCCGGGAGGGATTAGAAAGGCATCTCCACAGGGCTGCCTTCCAAAACCACAGCAACTGCGGCAGCCCATGGAAATCACCAAACTGGACTGGGAATTCTCACCATAAAACACCGGTCTGGGGCACAGGACAGCTCCACAGCCTGACACAGAAGCTGCGTGGGAAGGACTGTGCAAGCCAAGATTTACAGGGAAGGAAAGAGAAGCCTCGAGTTTGACTTTGAGACCAGACCAACGTGACTTTTCAGAAGCACTGCAGGTTCAACACCTCCGTTTCCTCCTGGGAGGGTTTACTGGGAGCTCAGCTCTTCCAAAAACTCACATTATTTATCTGGGATCATAAAAAGGGATGGGTTACGGGCCGTTTCAGAAGTACCCAAGGGATTTAGGTGCTCGAGGTCTGTGGTACCCAAATCCCTTCGGTGCTCCTAAAAACATGGTGAACCTGTAGGTCTCGTTTCAGAAGACCATGACCTGCCTCCCCGCCTGTCCTCAACAAAGATTAAGGCAAACTGCAGGGGCTAATCCCGTCCAGAGCACACACATACAATGGGAAATACAAAACTGTCAGCGGGTACTTTGGGGCTGAGCCATTTGGGGTGTCTTCACCCCCAAACCCACCATTAACACACCAGTTTGATGGACTAGAGAGGAAGAAGGCCGAGGACATGGGCAGAACTGCTGCACGCGGGGGCTTCAGTTCTGAGCCACAGGAAACCTCCGTGCATTTCCAAAGCTTTGAAAGTAAAAGGCCAAGCTGTAGAGATGCCAATTGGAGCATCAACACAAGATTAACCTCACTTACAAAAATAAAATAAAATAAATTGAGCAGCTGGTTTAACTCCCAAACACTCCTGCCATCGCTGCAGTTACAACCAACGTTCAACGACAGAAACTAGTTGTGCTTCTCATCATTTTAGGTTCTGGGTCACCATTACCCCATTGCTGGAGAGATTTACAAAGAGGGGGGGAACAACAAAACCAAAGCAGAACAAAAACAGAGATGAGACTATGGACTGTCCAATCTCAGGGACAATTTCCTCACCCTCGGCCAAAAGTACGGGCGGTACTAAGGCAGCTTGTAGCAGTCTGTGTGTTCCTGTTCTTTCAGGCCTTTTGTCTGAAGAAGAAATTCAGATGCATGACAAGCTCCGCTCCGCAGTGCGGGCGTGAAAAAACTTCCAGAAAACTCTTTTGCGAGGTTGTAACCTCTGATCACGGAGCTGTGGTGGTACAGCACTTATCGCCGATTTTACAAGGCTACGAGAACACAGCTGTGCAATTTGTTCTGTGGGGAGAAGATGCTGATCTTCCCATT